CAGTGAGCTTATTGTATTCCACCAAGCCTTAGAAAGAAGTATTTCAGGACCTGAATGATGGTAGGGAACTTGGAGAAGAGGGGAAGAGAAGCACCTGCCTGCTTCTAAAATAATTATTTAAAAACATAGAAGGGGCCTGGGAAACCTTGAAGCCAGTGTCACATACTGCCGTTTAAGGCATTTGGTCTTTTCAGTGACTGTTATGCATGTTTACGACATGCTGCCAGGCACCTGGTCCCTGTGCCCCAGGAGCTCAGTGTCTTTAACCCAAGACCCTGGATCAATGCCAGAAAGGAGTGCAAGGAGAAGGCTGTTGGACACATAAAGGAAAGAGCAGTTAAGTCTCCGAGGGAGAAGCTGAGGAAGGATTCCAACCTCAGGCTCCTGGTCTGCGTGGACTCTGAACCTTCCTTGGCCTCTATGCTTGGGCTGCCCTGCTGTGGTCTGTGCAGAGGATACCACTAAGCCCCATGCCCACTGTGTGCTGGGGACTGGGAAGAGGGCTAGTTCTAGGTGATTGACCCCAAGGAGGGACAGGAGTTGTGGCTAGAGGCCCACACTTCTTTTACTTCATGTCAGATGCTGCCTGAGGTGAAACAGCAGGGCAGGGGTGGACCTGCAGCAAGTTCACTGACCTACTCATGAAGGACCTCCAGGCCCTGCCCTTGGCACTCCTCTCCCAGCCTCAGCCTCAGAGGTACTCAGGCAGAGCATTTTCTGAGCCATGGGCTAGCCAGTCTTTAAGTGGCAGCCCACAGTGAGATCACCTAGGATGGCCCTCCCCTTACGCACATTGCACTCCCAGCAGGCCCAGGAGCCTGCCTCAGAACCACTCTGTAAGCCAGAAAGAGAAATGCACCTTGGCAGTTCATGTCTTTGAACGAGAAAACTCAGCAACCAGCATTTTGGACCAACTTTTGCAGCTCTCAGTGGGTTGTGCCCACTTTGTCCTTCTTGAAGGAAGTGTATATTTCTAATTTGGCTGCCTAGTGTGACTTTGCCCATTGAGAAACCCAGGTTCCCTGTGTTTACTCCTTGTCTCTTCAGAGGACCTGGCAGGAGAGTGAAGGGCGGATTTGCTGTGAGTGCTGTTTAAATGCTTGGGTGGCTTTCAGAGGCTGTCAGCCCACTTGGCCCCTCTCTGCTGCTGAGCAAACACTGCCTCGGAGCACCCACTTGACCATTCTTTTGGAAATAAGTACAGATGGAAGAGGAAGTGCTCAAGAGTCTAGAGCAGGCAGGAGGTTACCCTCAGGACTTTTTTCCCCAGACAAGGAGGAGATTAAGAAACCCCATAGCTGAGTGTTTCTGAGTATCTTGGCAAGGACACACAAGAAATGGGCAGCAGTGGGTGGCTCCAGGGAGGGAGTAGTGAGTGGCTCCGAGCTGGGGCTTAGTATGCAGGGGCAACTAATGCTTCACTGTCTACTGGCCTGTACTTTTTATTATTATTATTATTGTGATTTGGGTGAAGATTTACAGAGCAAATTCACTTTCCATACAGCAGTTCACATATACTTTGTCTCATGTCATTGACCACAGTTTACCACAGTGCAACAGCTCCCCTCCCACTTCCTCCCCATAGTTACCCTCTTCCCAGTGTCCATCCCTCCATACACTCTTGCCCCCTGAGCTGTCTCCCTGTGCATAAGCAGCCCTTCTTTCTCCCATGATTATTCTCTCCAAGGAGTGTATCTACTTGAGGTAAATGTTTAACTCATATGCCTGCATTTTGTTTGGCTGAAAACTACAGGTGTGGGTTCAATTCCAGACCTGAAGGGCAGCTAGGGGCCATAGTCTCATTGGTTCCACCAGGCTCTATTGGACCAGCAAAACTGGTTCCCACCTTTTTTTTTTTTTTCCTCCAAATGATTTTGAATTTTGTTCCATATTGTTCTCCCCCACTGGCCTGTACTTTTAAAGTTGTATACTGGGAATGAGTGCTACCAATATTAAATGTGTGTATGTGTGTGTGTGTGTGCGCACGCATGGAGAATAAGGAAATGGAGTCACTAGTACCTGGCTCTCTATGTATTTCCCTCCATGTCCCTTTCATTCTCCCTTTCTTACCCTGCCCTCCTGGCCCCCAGGAAGGTCCTAGAGGTGGGCCAGCATCTCTGTGATGTGCCCATTCCCACATATCCTTGTTAGCAAGGCCTTGGAAATTGTGGAGAAGAGGGAAGGTGAAGACAGTATGAACCCACCACTCCTCTGAACCAAGCCCAATACCTGCTCTCATTGTCCCTAGACTAGCACTTACTTAGTATATGTAGGGAACCTGAGGCTCAGAGTTTACTCAGTTCGGCCAAAGCAGCTCAAGTAGGAAGTGGGCAAAGCCAGACCCAGGTGTGCCTTGCCACCAAAGCTCACACCCTTTCCTTGACAGCCCAGAATTGGCCCTGATCTCCACTGTGGAGCACCCTTTCAGACTGATCTGCTTCCAGACCTGAAGTCCTGGCAAATAGCTCACGTCCATACCTGAAAAAGCACACCCTTTTCCTTTTCCTCTGAACAGGGCCCTGTGGCCCCACCCTTCTCCAGAGCCAGCCCACCACCATTGCCCATTTCCAAACCTGAACTACAGAGACCTTAGTTATGGAGACTAGCAGACCGAAAAGCTGGTGTGAACTTTTAGCAAAGACATCTGGTTGTATTACTTGTAATCTTGGATTTATAGTATTTCAAACTGTTTATCTCCAAGAGAAATCTTAGGGAGCCTATTTTAATTAATTGAAAAAGAGAACAATTTTTTTTTCAATTGTGGTTTGGGTGAAAGTTTACAGAGCAAATTGGTTTTCCATTCAACAATCCATACACATTGTTTTGTGACATTTACTATAATCCCCACACTATAACAACATTGGTCTTACTTCCTCCCTGTACCCACTCCTTCCTTCCATCTTTCCTCCCCATCCTTTCCCACCTTCCTAGCTCTATCCCTGAGCAAATATTATTCTCTCTTGATCTCATAGGCTTGATTGTTCTAATGAGGGCATACCCCTTCTGATATTGTTAACCTTATAGGCCTGTCTATCATTTGGCTGACTGTTAAGTCATGGGGGTTAAGTTCAGTTCCTAGCTTGAAAGGTAATGGCCATAGTCTTGGGGGTTCCACCAGTCTTCATCAGACCAGTAAGCCTGGTCTTTTTTATGATTATGAGTTTTGTACCACATTTACCCTTACTTTATCCAGGAACCTTTTCTTGTGATCCCTTTTAGAGAGGTCATCAGTATAGCTGGGCACCATCTTATTCTTCTGGTCTCAGGATCAAGGAAGCTGGGGTTCATGCATTCCATTAGTCCTTTAGACTATCTGATAGTTTCCTGCATCTTTGATTTTCTTCATTCTTCTTTACTTTGGACAGGAAGAGACCAATAGTTGTACCATGGATGACTATTCACAAGCATTTAAGACCCCAGTGCTACTCACCAAAGTAGGCTGTAGAACATTGTCTTTATGGACTATGTTATGCCAATTGACCTTAGTGTCCCCTGAGACTATGGTCCTGAGCCTCCATACCCAGCGACTCATTCCCTCGAGGTGTTTGGTTATGACTAAGGCGTTTTCATAACTTTGTCCCCTGTATGCTCCACCACATTCATGGATATATTTGCAACAAATATAAATACATAGGTAGAGATAGCATCTGTCAAACCTGTATATATGTGTGGTGTAGTCCCATTTGCCTTCCCACCCCTGTTCAGATTGAGTGTCTGTATATCCACACTTAAATTATTGTTATTACTATCAGTATAGCTTTCTGTATGTAATGGTATTCCCATTGTGCTCCTCCCTGTGTCTTCCACTCCCTTGATAAGAGAACAGTTTCAATGAGCACATCTATTGGCAAATGGGTCCTTCTACCTTAAGCTTTGGAAAGTAGTTGCCTTAAAAAGAAAAAAGAAAAAAAACCTCACTGCCATCGAGTCAGATCCAACTCATAGCAACCCCTCCTTGGGTTTCTGAGGCGGTATCTCTAAGGAAGTAGATTGCCCAATCTTCCTTCTGACAAGTGGCTGGTGGATTTGAACCTCCAGGCTTCTGGTTAGCAGTCAAATGCCTTAGGCACTGTACCACCAACTCCTATTAATGTTGCATTCTTGTTTTATACTTAAAAAAAAAAAAAAAAAAAAACTCACTGCACTAGAGTCGGTCCGACTCATAGTGACCCCTCCTAGGGTTTACAAGGCAGTATCTCTAAGGAAGTAGATTGCCCAATCTTCCTCCAAGGAGTGGCTGGTAGGTTTGAACCACCAGTCTTCTGGTTAGCAGTCAAATGCCTTAGGCACTAAGCCACTATTACTTTGCATTTTCCCAAAAGGAGAGGGAAGAGTTTGATATCAAATAAGCTTGAAACTGGTTCAGTCCAAAAATTACCCTAATAGCAAGTTATCAGTGTATAAATTAACTAGATTATCTACTCAATGGTTAAGTTCAAATGATTTTTCTGATTGTTTTCCCGCCAAGTTCATGTTTTCTTAGAGTTGAAGAATCTTGGATGGGAACTTCTGCTGCTTGAGTCAGCTTGCACTTGACCCAGCTTGGAAACCTTCCTCTGGCTCTCCAGGGTGGAGAGGCCACACTCCCAGGGTGGGCCCTCAGGGTTTTGGTCTTTTGGGAAAAATAGGGAGCAGCAGGTCTCTAGATCCCATCCTCTACTGTGAGGTTTTTATAACTACTTCCTCAGTCTTTTCTCTTTAAAAACCAAATTCTAAATGTAGTGTTTCCTCAGGAACACTGCTTTTTTCTCAGCCTTGTCATTTCCGTCCTAGTTAATGTTGAACAATGATTGCCCTGAGGGTCCGGATCCTGCCTTGCAGGCCCCTTGCAGCGTAACCAGCAAATCTTGCGGCAGTCCCCCACAGAATGCCCCTTCAGTGGGACTGGAACAGATGGGTTCTGTGTTTCTCCCTGGGCTCTTTTGCCTCTTCCTGGTCTCTACTCAGCCATCCAACTCCCTGAAAACACCCCTCAAGGTCTGGTTTGTGGGCCGTTTCAGTGTTTGTAAGCGGTGCATTCGGAAGATGGACCACCACTGTCCCTGGGTCAATAACTGTGTCGGCGAGAACAACCAGAAGTACTTCGTCCTGTTTACAGTAAGTCAGCTTCTGAATTCTGCCCCTCCCTCCATGAAACAATGGAATACATGGTTCCTTTGACAATTCTCTGCACTCGGGGTGTTCTTTGTGCTGTTCAGAGTACTACTGGGCCATGTACATCCCCACCTACCTGCCAAAGATCTCCACAGCTCAACAAGTCCCTAAGCCCTTCTCTTGAGCATTGAAAAAATTCACTCATGTTGATTAGTTGTGAGTAAGGGCTATGTTCTAGGCTCCCAGCACAAATACTGATGCTAAGTAGTTAAAGAAGGCAGTTTTGGTGTTGCCCTCAAGCCCTCCCTCAACTAATGATGGATGGAGTATATTTAGTGTTAGAGCTGGAAGGCCAATGACAGTCAGCACCCTGACTTTGCAAGTGAGAAGAAGCAACAAATCTGGAGCAGCCCAGCCCAGCTGGAACCCATGTCATGCCTGGCAACAGGCTTTGCTGCTCTTCTTGTTCCTCATTCTCCCGGTGAATGGCTGCACACCTCAGGTCCTAATGCTGGAGAAATCACCGATGCCTCTCTGGCCCCTGCCCCCTGGTAAAGCCTCAGCCAACTGTGACTTAAATGGTCCTGGTGGGAGGTTCTGAGTGTGTCTGTATACTGATAGTCAGGTCTTCACAACAATGGTGTCTACACTGCTTTCCCGTTTCAGATGTACATAGCTCTCATTTCCTTGCATGCCCTCATCATGGTGGGATTCCACTTCCTGCATTGCTTTGAAGAAGATTGGACAAGTGAGTATGCACCAGGGACCCCTCACTACTCCAGGGTGGATGTGGCCCAAGTGGGAGGAGGTGGGTGCTCTGCTCCCTTCATGGTGCCAGGCACCAACCTCGTTTTGCTAGATCTCCTGCAAGCCTATGGAATGACCAGGGAAGAAACAACAGAGGCTCTACTGTCTCCTCATGAAAAAGAGCAGGCCCTTAAAGTCAGTTCCTCAGGTAAAGTAGTGAGTGGGACATGCCCAGGAAAAATGCAGGCCCCACACAAGGAGGCTTTTCTCCCTTCATGGTGCCAGGGGCCAACCTCATGTTACTAGATCTCCTGCTCCAGGGAGTAGAAGTCTGCTGGCACAGGAGAACTTTGGTTTCTGTGTCTTTAAATGAAGCCCTTTAACCCTTTCATGACCTGCAGAACATGTAGTGCCCACCTGCATTTTCCTCCTCTGGGGTTTATTGGGCAGCTGCTTTCCCACTGGCAGTGCATGCAGCTATCAGGAGGTAATCTGTTAACGGCTTGGAACAGAAGAGAATTACTGTTCTTACAGGGTGTTGTATGAGGTGGCATACCCTGGAGGTGTGATTTTCCAGGTTCCTGTGCATTATTGGAAGTTGCCTTTCTGGTGATGATTCCATGTTTGCACAAATACCACATTTTCAGGTTCCCTAAGTTGTATGGACTTGTCAGGGGTTCTAGAAGTCAGTGCAGAGTCCAGACGGACACTGACCCTACCCCCCAAGCCCAGAAAAACACGTGTCCCATATAATTTTATCCCTGGGTCCAGGGTAACAAGGATGCCCCACAGTGCCACAGCTCTCTTCCCATTGCCTCCCTGTGGTTGGTTACCTTTTCCCCTGTGTCCTTCTTTCCTATGCATTCTTCCCCTCTAAGCGATCTCCCTCCCTATGCAAATGCAAGTTCTTCCTGCTTTAAAAGTATTCAATTTAAATGAGCAAATAAATAACTAACTAAGTAACTCCTAACTAAGTAACTAACTAGGTAAGTAACTCCAACCCAAAGATTGCACAAATCCTGAGGGAAAAAGTAGAAGCTATAGATAAGTGAGGCCACCTACTAGGCTAGATTTTTAATGTCTCACACTTGCACTACCATTAGTCAGATCCAACTCATAGAAACCCCTCCTTGGCTTTCCAAGGCAATATCACTACGGAAGTAGATTGCCTAACCTTCCTTCCAAGGAGTGGCTGGTGGATTTAAACCGCCAGTCTTCTGGTTAGCAGTCCAATGCCTTAGGCACTATGCCACCAGCACTCCTGTGGTGATTTTTCACATACTCATGCACATATGTGATCTGTGAAATAAGAGTTTTAAGCATAAACATATTTCCACTGTTTTTCTCAATGGGTCCCCTGTGTCATTTCAACAAGTTTTAGAGATTTTCCCCTTTCCGCACATGCTGACTTCTCAAGCAGTTTCTTGCTATTATTTTTCTTTGGAACTGTTGAGACTGGAAAAGGGATACTCTGTGGCTTGCACTCAGACCCTAAGAGGCTGTTCCTGCCTCTATATTAGTAGTTTCCATTTTCCCAGTTCTACTCTGCCTGACCCCACTCCACCCCCAGCTCTGTGGCTTGACATCACCTAGGAGAGAAAGAATACCATGTCTCCCCATTTTCATGATTGCTGCAGTTCTGGGATGAGCTGGAGAGAGGCTCAAGCTCTTAGATGTAGGGACATGAGAGGGAGGATGGGGAAGCATGGGTTTCTGTAGACTGTACCGTTCTACATAGCTGAGTGGCTTACAGGCAAGTCCCATGGTTGCTTAGCTAGCATTCTGAAATCCACACATTCTTCTAGGCCCTTAGAATCCAGTTCAGCTCCAGATGTGACGTTGGCAACTTGGTAGGGAAATCTGACAAGGATATTTTGTCATCACAAACCGCCCACAGATCATCGGGTTAGCAGACGTGGGCAGTGACAAAGTCACACAGACTGCCAGTGAAGCAAATGTCTCTGTCTTTGGAATGGCACTACGTGCCTACTAATAGCCAGGCTTGCCACAAAGGACTTTTTGAGCAGTGCCTTGTTTCCACTTTATCACAAGCCTGCAGGGTAGGAGAGATACTGCCCACTTTGCAGATGACCAAAACTGGGGCTTGAAGATGAGCAAGTTCCCCAAGGTCACACAGCTAAGATGAGGGCCTGTGATTCAAAGCTAGGTCATGAGCTGGGACTTCAACCTATCTGGCCTTCTCCAACTCCTAGGATCTTCTCAGCTGTGCTCTTGATTGTCTTTGGTCAGGATTCCTGAGGAGTAGGCCTAAATTACCCTGCTCCCATAGGAGCTAGGCTGGGAAGCACAGGAGAGGCCTCAGAGCAGAATCCTGAGGGATGACTGTATGTGACATTTCATACCATTACTGGTTGAGGAGCTTCTGTAATGGGAGCTTGTATAGTGACCTCCCCCAAGGTAAGGGCACTTTGAGTTGAAGTTTAAAGGTTAGGGAGGGAGTGCCACACCTGTATCTGGTTCCTGCCTCCCCAAACTCTATGGAGGCCAGGCCAAGAGGGGAACAATACCTACAACCATGCAGGGATCTAGAACAGGCCACCAAGCTTGGCCTCCAGCTCTAGGGAACCCCAGGGAGAGGCCAAAGCACCTCCATTCACTTGGCAGCGCCCCCTGCTCCTGTGCCAGTGCTGTGCCTAGGCCTAGCTTTGCATGTGTAATCTCATGAATCCCCAAGAGGTGGGTACAAACATTCCTGCTTTGCAGAAGGGAAATGGAAAGTTCAGAGCCCAGACCTCTTGCCCAGATTCTTCTGCTGTCAGGTACTGTCCCAAGACTGGGTTTACAGCAGTGAGCAAAACAAAGTATTCACCCTCATGGAGCTTGAAGTGTAGTGACAGAGGCAGGTCTCAAGTGAGTACAGAGAGAAACAGGTAATTACAATGCAAGGTGTAGGAAAAACACAGGGGCCAAAACAGTAGTAGTGGGGCATTTTAGAGTTTGTGATCAGTAGTTGGGGCCAGAGTTTGAGCCCCCTCCATGTCTGTCTGACTTCAGGGTCCTGATCTTCCCACCACTCTGCCCAGACCCAGAGGCCAGGCAGGCAGCTACCTCACTGTAGCCGCCCAGGGCCAGCTTGTCAGGCTGCTGGACTGCTCCAACCAGGCCTGGATCTGCAAGGAGCCAAGGAGAGATAGTGTCTCAAGGCTTTGCTAAGTTCCAAAGGAAACGTGAGGAGACAAAAAAGCATTTTAGATGAGCTGTCCCTTACCCGACTGCCCATACAGTGTTTGGTATCTTCCCAAGCTGTTCCCAGGTTTGACTTCTCTCACTCCTCCTGAGGTTCCTGGGAGGCAGCAGCAGGGTGGCTCAGAGAGCCACTTTTTCACTGCAGTCCTAAAAGCCCAGGGAAGTTCAGCTCTGCCCTCCAGGATCTGACCTCTCTAGCAGGAAACGGGCCTGAGCGCTGGAGCACGTAAATCCCAACCAAGCTCAACCAGCACTTGCCACAGTACTTGAGAGGTAATGAGTGCCAGACAAGAGGCACAAGGGACACTGCGTGTGCCATCCATGGGCCAGTCATGCCAGGTGTGGCCCACATTTCCCCAGGGGGTTCCTCAGAGGCCATCTTGAGTGCAGAGTACCAGAGAAGGACTCCCCCTGTTCACCCGCTGTCTTCTGCCACAGCACCTCTGCCTATATGTGCAGTGGGTGAAGTTCCAGTTTAGACTTTATTCAGACAAAGGATTCTGCTGCTTGAAACAAAGCCACGCTCACTTAGTCACTGCCATCAAGTCAGATCCAATTCATAGCAACCCTTCCTTGGGTTTCTGAGGCAGTATCACTACAGAAGTAGATAGCCCAGTCTTCCTTCAAGGAATGGCCAGTGAATTTGAACCGCTAGCCTTCTGGTTAGCAGTCAAACGCCACAAGAGCTCCCAAACAAAGCCACACATGTAGTCAAACCTCACTGTTTCACAGTAGAGGGAGTGAAGGTCCACAAAGGGGCAAGGACTTGCTACAGGACAAACCCTGGGTCAGGGTGGGCTTGGGTGGTCAGAGGGCCTCCAGGCAGGGGCAGGAGAAAGAAAGCACCTACTATGGGCTTACTTTTTGGTTGGCCTCCAGCCCTGGGGACTGACTGCCCCAGGGCTGCTGTCACTACTGGAGATTATCCAGCCCCTGGATCAAGGCTGAGCACCAGCAGTTAACTGCCGAGCTTGGTATACAAAGCCACCAAGTGGTTTTTCGCATCTGCCCTTACCTCCTTACAGATGGAGGTGCAGAGGGGACGGCACCTTGTACAGTACTCCTGGAAAACTGGTAGCCAAACTGAACTGAGGCCTCTCCTCCGATACAGCCTGCATTGCACTCTCCAAGGAGAAGAGGGTCTCCCTGAGGTGTCATCAGGCCTTCTTCACACCTCTGTTCAGTCATTACAGAGTCCTTCCATGTGCCAGGCACTGTGCTTGACATCAGATGTAGACAATTACGCTGTGGCAGCAAAAAGAGTCAGTGAGCAAGGACTGATGAGTGTGAGGGAAGGGGAAGCCCCGTGCAGAGCTGGCCTGGTCGAGGAGGGTTTCCTGGAGGGAGTGCTTTTGTAGCCAAGCCCAGAGTGAGAGGAGCCAGATATGGGGCAGGGTGGTCCCCACTGAGGGAATGGTTTCCCCAGAGCCTTGAGGCCAAAGATATGTGTGACCACAAGGAGCCAGAAAGTCCTGCAGGACTGGAAGCAGAGTGGATACCCTGGCAGGGCTGTGAGTCAGCACCCAGTAGGGCAGTGGTGGATGGCAGGCTGTGGGTGGGCAGCCCCGAGCCCAACATGTCCTTCTCTTTCAGAGTGCAGCTCCTTCTCTCCACCCACCACGGTGATCCTCCTCATCCTGCTGTGCTTTGAGGGGCTGCTCTTCCTCATCTTCACATCAGTGATGTTTGGGACCCAGGTACACTCCATCTGCACAGATGAGACGGTAAGTGGGCGCCCCCACCCCTCCTACCACCTCCACCCCTGGGGTTAGGGAAGGAACTGGGCAGATGCTGCTGGGAGGGCAGCATACAGGCCAGACCTTGGAGCCCAGTAGGCATGCCTGGGGTGTAGGCTCATGTTACACATTGCAGCAACACTTGGATCTTCCACACACACACATGCATCCCCCACTCTTGGAGCAGGCACAACAGATCACATCAGGAATAGTGCCCAGCCACCTTGCTAGAAGGTCCCTTTGCCTTGATTCCAACCATCTTCCTGTGATGGTTTTTTCCCTGCATCCCACACTATGCCAGGCACTCTATAGGCACTGGCCTATAAGCCCTTTCCCTAAGGATAGGTTGGTCTGCAAATGGTGCCCTAACCCCGCTAGGACAGGCAGGGGCAGCTTCCCAGAGGAAGTGACTTCATGACTAGGTCCTGAGAGCAGTGTCAGGTGACAGATGTGCCTTGAACCTCCCAGAGCAGTGAGCAGCAACCTGTTGCCTGGCCTCTAGGTCATCTCTGCTTGGCAGCTCCATCCTCGTCCAGTGCCTTCTGCCCATCCCCATCCTACCCACTGCTCCCCCTCAGGAGCTTCAAAGCTGCTGGCTGGGCTGGGCTGGAGCCTGCACCCCTGCTGCCTCTGCCACCACTTCATTTCCTGAGGTCTCCAAATGCCTCTCAGTGGCCCATCCACAGCTGTGATGTGGGCATCTCTTCCTTTTAGGCTGTGGGGTCCAGATAAGAGACCCCAAGAGAATGGGGCAGCTCTGAGCTCTGGGCGGGAAGAGTGGATTTGTGACTCCATCCTTGCACTGCTCCTGGCTTCCTGAGGTCCCCTCAGGCTGGCAGCTCTCAGCAGTGGTCGGGGAACCCAAGATGGGACTTTGGGTGCCTGTTGGGTAGTCAGCCTTGACAGAGGCTCATAGGAGAGCAGAGCTGTTACCCACAGGCTCCCCACCCCACTCCTCCCCTATGGGTGTAGAAAAGCAGAGAAGGGAGAGATGGTGCTGCCCTGGCCCATGGTCTGAATCTGTGGGGACTCCTGACAGTTTAGAGGGTTAGGGGACTCTCAGCCACACTTTCCTAAGAAATAACATCACTACATAAAAGTTTCTGTGCAAATAGTAGCCACTGGCATAGGTGCAGCCATTTATTCAAGTAGAATATGTGACTAACTTTTCTGTATAAGACCACCAGGAACCCCAAAGGTGACCCTGCCAGGCCCCAGCCACTGTTGGAATGCTGCCAGGCCACCTAGGGCATGGTCTTGGGGAGCCAGAAGGAAAACTCTAACAGCCTTTGTGGTAGTTATTCTTGCCCCTTAAGATCATTATGAAAGGAAATTGTGTTAGGAGGGAAGGAAAGGCCCTGCAGCTCCTGGGAAAGGCCAACTTCCCCTTGACCTGTATCCTGCCAGGTCCCTAGGATGTGAAAAAAGACTCAGACTTGGGGGGTCCCCCTCAGGCCCCATGCGCTTTAAGGGTGGGTCCTGGCTACCCCAGGCCTCACCTCACCAGAGACCACGGCAGACAGACCTCTGGCTGTGCTCTGGCAAGCCTGCTGGCCACAAGGGAGAGCAATGCCAGTTCCATGTGGAGAAGGGAAAAGGGGAGGGACCAGCTGTTGCCCTGGGCCCTGCTTTCGCCTGTGGGACTTAGCAAGGAATAGGTGCAGACGCTCAGACAACAACTGCCGTGGTAGCCTCCCTCACACTTCTCCCCCAAGGATGACCTTTGCCATGACTGAGGCTGACTGGTCTGTCCCTGCAGCCCTCTAATCTATACTAACCCCTTCTCCTTCCTCATCTGTGGAGACTCCCCTCCCTCACCCACAGCTTCTCACTCCTATTCTACCTTCTCAGCTTGTATCTCTTCAGTTCCACTAAGCGGGGTGCTCCTTGACCTCCCGGCTGGCAGGACTAATGGCGCCAGAGCAGTTATTTGATTTGTTCCTTTTTTTTTTTTTTCATCTGCAAAGTGGTCATAGTAGCTTCACACTTCCTCAGAACTTCTCCCAGATGAATGACCATCACTGGCTATCTGGCTATCATGATTGTAAGCTCCTCGCTAGCTAAGGTGGGTTCTCGCGCCAAAGCCTTCATGGCCCTGCTTCCATGCACTCAGCCCCGCACTGGGCCAGGAGCACCTCTGTAGAACCCAAGTAATGACCGAGACAGGGTTGAAACCCCCCTTCCCTTCATCACAGCAGATCACAGTCATAAGAATGGCTCAGCACCTGCTGGCTCCGCTTCCTTTTTCTTCCTCTCTGAGGGGCTTGTAAACATGTGCCCACCAAAGAAAAGTATAGTTTTTTAAAAAATAACATTTCTATTAGAGAAGAAAAAGTCTTGGGTAGATAGTTTTATAGGTCACTTGAAGAAGGAAGCATTTACACATTCACCTCAGGCTAATGGATCATCCCTCCCTAAAACACCACAGCAGGAAAGTGCCTGACTCAAAGTATGATTGTTCTTGTTTTCAGGGAATAGAACAATTGAAAAAGGAAGAGAGAAGATGGGCTAAAAAAACAAAATGGATGAACATGAAAGCCGTTTTTGGCCACCCATTCTCCCTAGGCTGGGCCAGCCCCTTTGCCACGCCAGACCAAGGGAAGGCAGACCCGTACCAGTATGTGGTCTGAAGGACCCTGACCAGCATTGCCACTCAGATATAAACCACATCACAGCACTACCGTCCAGCCCGTTCTCATGAATGTTTAAACTGAGAAAGCAACTACTCTCAAACTTTTCTTTTTTCAATGTCTCAAGTAAAATGGCTGAGCATTGCAGAGAAAAAAAAAAAAAAGGCCCCCCGTTTTATTTTTAAAAGATCATCCTTTCTATTTTTTGGTGACCGAAGCTGCTCTTCTTTTTCCTTTTTAAAATCACTTCTCTGGACTCTGGTTTCCTCTGTGCTGTCTGTCTGGCGTGACTAACATGGAGGAATGCTGCTCCCGGGCTATGCCCACCTCTACTAACCAACTGAGACGTGAGTGATGCTGGTGGTGGAGGGACTGGCCCCGGACGCCTGGTTGGGGGCCTGTAGGAGAGCCAGGAGAGCCCCTGGCTTCCCCATGCCCGGCAGGCAGCAGCAGGCTCCCAGAATGGGACTTGAAGCCACAGTGAAGATGGATGCTTACCCCTTGAGGCCTGAGCAGGGCGACTTCAGGGCTGGAGCCTTCAAAAGGGCCTCGACAAGCGGCCTCACCCCCAAGTGGACACGGTTTGCCTAATTCGTGAAATCAATTGTCTGTCTTTGTACCTTTTGGGCTGGGGGTGTGTAGTGATTGCGGGGGTGGGAAAGTGGGGGAGAGATGAAAGGGGTCTTATTTGTATTCTGGAATCAGCAAATATATTCCCTCTGATTATTTGGAAGACTGTAAAGGAAAGAAATTCTTGCAGTTCCAAATGCCTTACACAGTCGACAAAGTCATACAATTTGAGGCGAGCTACATTTTCCTTTGTTACAGCTACTTACTCTCTTATTTCATCCCGCTTCCTATCAAGATGCCATTTAAGCAGTGTTAATGCTAAAGAAGTGAGTACCGCCCCAGGACTCCCAGTGTGGGGTGGGCCACCCAGCCAGAACACCAACCTCTTCTTCCTGGTTTTGTAAATCTCTAAAGTGGGTTCACTTTCTGATACTTTAGATCCATACGTGTGCACATACTTGTGTCCTATCTATCTTTTAACCTGGGATGCTGCTGTCGGGCTGCGATGGGTGCCTGCCTCCTGTGCCATCCATGCTGCAGGGGCACCCCAAGACCAGAGTAGCCTTTTCCGTTTGGGAGGGAACTCCTGTGTTTATTCTCATTTGAAAGAGGTAGTAAATAGTTGCTGGAGTTAGAGAGTAGGAGTTGTCATGGAGTACCCTTCAAATGCAAAAATGACAGCAATCTCACTACTGACTATCTCTGAATTCTTACACTTTGGTTTATTTTTTTAAAGCAGTTGCCACAGACCTCCTTTTTCAGCTTTTGCTTGGGGTGGGGGTGGGAGCTAAGGTTTAGTAAATCCAATCCTGGGCAGGACAGAGTTGATCTAGCCAAGTGCTTTTTCAGAAAAGTAAGTGGAACAGGCTGCATCTTTTCAATTCTGTCAGTGCTTCCACGTGGACACAAAATACAACGAAATGTTTCCAGAATCTCTTCTGCTCTAGCTCTGCTCTCTCCCAGTGTGAGCTGGGGCAAGCAGATTATGTACCATCAGTGTGAGTTTTCTCTGTCTTGTTATTTTTAAGCTACACGGATGCTTCCTCTCTTAATGAGGTTTTTTGTTACTGCTGTTCGTAATGGGCGTCTGTCCCTGTCTTTTGAACAAGCTCCCCCCGCCCCCCGCCAGGCCTCTCTTTCACTTTCTGCTGCCAAAACTGCTTCCATTGTGTTGATGGTCTCTCAGTCACTACAGAAGAAATCATCTGCCGGCTGAGTTTGTGCCTGGCGTCAGGTTGGGGGAGAGACCCTTTTCCTTCCGACGCATCGCTTGGTGAAGCTGAGGAAGCTCCTCCCTCAGATGTTTAACCAAAGAACCTTTACTTGCCTCTACTGTTGTGCTGTAGAGTCAAGCCCAAGAGGCCAAGTTTTAAAGATGCTGTTTTTAGATCAACCTTGTAGCATTTGTTCTCCACAAGCCTTTTATTTATTTATTTTCCCACAGTCCACCTAAGTGTCTCAGAGAAGTATGGCCATGCTGGAATGACTCTAGGGCAGTTTAGGAGGCCGTGCTGCAGCTCTGGCAGACTGGGACTCAGGAAAGATTTTTAAATATTTGGATGCCCTCGAAATAGTCCATCTTCGTGGGCTTTTTCTTTTTTTTTTTTTCCTTCTTTAAATGACCCACGTTGGGTCTTTTCTCTGGAGAATTTCTAAGAATGCAGCAGATAGTGCTAAAGATGTACTGAACTGTTTTGTTTTGGGTTTTTTTTTGGCCCTAAAAATAGAAACTCAGTATTTAGACCTGAGCATACTACACCTATCTTTCCCAGAGAGAAAGGCTCCTTTAGACAGCCCGTATGATTCTACCTCTGGTTTATACATACTTTTTGGCTGGAAGGAATGTTTTTTTTCCTATTTCGTTTTTCTTGACACTGATCACAGTTAGCCAAGAGCACAACGACTAATGTGCCTGTCATTTGCAGCATAGTGATTAGTTCCCAGCCTGGTGTCTACACAGACAGATAGAGTCCCTGAGCTCTCCTATTTCCAGTCAGGAGCTCTGGTGGCATAGTGCCTAAGGCATTTGACTGCTAAACAGAAGGCTGGAGGTTCAAACCCACCAGCCACTCCTCAGAAGGAAGGTTGGGCAATCTACTTCCATAGTGATACTGCCTCGGAAACCCAAGGAGGGGTTGCTGTGAATCAGATCAGACTCCATGGCATTGAGTTTGTTTTCTTCTCTTTTCTTTTCTTTTAATGAAAGAGGACAGCTCTCTACACAAAGGTGGCCTGGATTTTGGCTTAGGCACAGGAGTTCTGACAGCATTGAATGATGCTCTCCTGGGAAAATGAACCAGAAGCAGCCACAGCCTTCCAGAGGCACTGAGGAGTGGAGGGAAACAGTGACGAGGAAGGTGACAGGGCGTGTGGATTAGGCGGTCCCCAGGTCTCCTTCTGTCAACTTAAGCTCTATGTTCATAGCAACCCACAGGACATGCAAAATTCTTAAGTCCAAACAAATCCAGGCATATTTGCATGGGTTCAGTGGCATCCCTCACAGAGTAAATTTGGATAGAAAAGTATGTGCTAAGTTTCCTTTAGTCATACCATTTCCTCTTTGTAACACTCCCTTCTTCAAAGAGCCCCACATAAGATACCTTGTATTAGCAGCTTTTCAGTCATTCTGGTTAGGCTGCTTAGACATTTAAAATCCACCATCCTGATGCAGAAACCTTTCAGATAAGGCAAATCAATAGACACTTGTTAAACACTTGATGTGAGGTCACCATCACACAGAAACCCCTCTCCTCAGGAGGCCAGGTGGTGCCCTCCCACCAGGTTGATGGCCTTTAGGTTTCTCTCATTTCAAAGCTAAAAGGAGGAACCAGCCAGTAGAAGCAAGGGGCCCAAACCTAGAAAGGACTCTTAAACATCAAAGAAATGTGGAGAGAGGACAATTTTACTAGAATGTCTATCAAGGATCCTGTCACCAATGGTTGAAAGGGATACTGAGCCAGTGGATCTCAAAGTGAGGTTTCCAGACCAGCAGCACCACCACCACCTGGGAACTTGTCAGAGATGCACGTTCTCCGGCCCCACCTCAGACCTGTGGAATCAAACTATGAGAGTGGACCCAGCAATCTGTATCTTTAAAGCCTCCAGGGATTCTGATGCACACTCAAGTTGGAGAATCTACTTGGGGCTTGCAGGAGTTGCCTACAAGTGGTCCCTGGTGCCTGCTGATGACGGGGGTCCTGTGTACCAAGCACAATGTGGTGCTGAGTGGGGTGCAACTGTGAGGCCAGCCAGCACTCCCGCCACTAGAGAAACCACGGATCCTGCTCCCTCATAGCCCTCTAGCTCTGCAGTAAGTGATGCTGAGGAAATCTGTTTGTTTCAAGGGGAACCAGATTATTTGTCTACCCAGCACTCTTTCCTGTGCATCTCATCAGTCTGACCATCTCTGGACCCATGTGCTCACTGGGTGAAGAACCAGCCCAAAGGGAGAGGGAAAGAGTGGGGCCAGGGACCTCCAAGCGGGAAGATGGCCACTGAGTACCCTGGACCCAGGGACATGTCCTGGCACCTAGCTCCCCTCTGTGGGGCTGAGTTTCCACATGGCCTGTTCTTGTATCTTTCAATACATATCAGCCCCTGAGAATCACCTCAAAGATGATTAAAGAAGTTACCGGGAAATGGAAATAAGCCACTGACCAGCCTATTCTTCCAGCCTGAAGCCTTCAATTCCCTACTCTATCCCCCAAGAAAACAATCACAATTTGAGAAGCATGATTGCCCTGGTATAGCAAAGAAAGGTCCCAAGGGACCCCCACCTCCACTTCTACACACACAGGAACAGATGCAGCTGATCCAAGGAAAAGAAATCATTGCAGAATTGTGTTTGCCAAAAACCTTCTGAGGAAAGGGACATGCTCTAACGCAGACAGAAAAGCCACCCTGATTTCTGCAAGAGAGCGAGTATAGAGCGATTATGCACAGGAGTCCTGCTCAGGCTGCTTACTACCTGTGTGACCTTGGACATTAACTTCCCTAAGCCTCTGCTTTCTTGGCTACAAAATCAGGATGATCATCTAAATCACAAGGTTGATGTGAGGAATAAATGAGATAAATGGATGTAAATGTTGTTGGAACAGTGTCTGGCACATGGTGTGGCTTCCATAGCATTGGATCTTGTTATCTGGAGGGGTGCTTTTCAAACCATGGGTCACAACTGTTCGTGATTTGTAAAATCAATTTCTTTGTTTTACAACCAGCTTTTTTTTTTTTTTTTTAAGAAATAAAAAAAAATTCATTACACACTGTAGGTGAAGGATTGTTTCATGAGACGTGTGCATGTGTACCCACATGATAGGTTGCAGCAGGAAGCTATTTCCTATTATGGGTTGTATTTAAGTGTGAAGCCACTGATGAAAAGAGACTGTCTTGTCTGGCTAGGCATGAAGAGGACCCATTGCAAAGCTGCAGCTTGAGGCTCTGACTTTCTGATGAGATGGGGAGTGGGGGGCAGCCTGCTCTTGCTCTGCAGGGGTCTCAGCTCAGCCCATGTAGATCGTCTGTGTGGATCTCTGCCTCCCTTCGGAGCCTTAGTCCGGGTGCATTCACCTGAGGCATTGGTGGATCCGTCCATGGA